CACTGATTCCTTCCGACCCAATAAAGACAGACAGCGCAGTAGGGTGTTCCATTTTCCCCAACTTCAGCATTGGCCGACATTTCGATGTCGCCCCATAACCTTGCCATATATCCATGATGTGTGCAAAAACCCAGCTCGATTGAACAATATTTAGATGTCGCGCTCTTTTGAAACTTTTCTGTATGCTAGTTTCATGAAGAATGAAGCTAACACTCGTAGTATCTCAAAGTATTGGCTTGAGCTGCTCCGCGTGCAGATGATTGCGTTCCTGCGAAAGGTTCTCCATGACGGAAGCAACCCACGCGAGGACTACGGGGAGCTTCTCCGTCTGTGCCTCGTGTTCCTCGGGGGAAGTGAGGGACAGGTCCGGTTTCGAGCTCCTGGTGCCTATCATCAAGCTAGATGGATGGCCAAAGCCATCTACGCCGTCAAGATGACGCTCTTCATCGACCAACTTGAGCTGCCAGCTCGCGTTCAACAATGCCTCCGTCAAGTGGCACTGTTCGTGAGCCTCTTGTACGTCAAGCACTCCCACGAGGCGCTGATTCCGGAGTACGCCCCGAAGAACGATCTGGAGCTCCTGCAGGCCCTCAACGATTATCCCGACGAGGAAGTCAGCGCACAGGCTACCAAGGCCCTAACCCGCCATTTCTGGTATCTTTCAGAAGACCTCATCGCGTTGGCTTTCTTCGACGACAGAGTCGAGGATTTGGAGAAGAAGCAGATGCTGGAGAACCTGGTGAAGCCTGCGTCCAAGAAGGCGCTGAAGCGGCTCGATGGGAAAGGATTGCGTGTGGATAACACCACTACCCTGAGCAATTTCGTCACTAGTCGCAGCAAACGGTTGTTCGAGCTGCTGGCGGATCGGGAAGATCATCCCCAGAACCTGATCAAGGACGAGGCACTGAAGAACCGCATCAGGGCCAGGGTTGTATACCAATCAAGTCGATTGAATTGATTGATTTGTTTCAACGCGTATTTTGAGTTGATTGGATTGAGTCGATTGACTTTTCGAGATGACTGGTTGACTGACTCGTTTGACTTTAGCGACTGGTTGACTGATTTGATTCCCGAAAATTAGAGTGACTCGTATGATTGAGTCGATTGAATGGAAAGTTCAAATAAGTTTTAGTTGACAAAAAATAATGACACCAATTGATGACACCAAAGATCACAAAACTACACTGAAAACTGCTTGTCATCACAACTGCAATATGAGGTAGATGGCCAAATAAAGAAGAGGGCCTAAACAACATGAGCAGCCAACGTTGACTTTCAACTGCAATAACTCAGTTATTGCAACTGCAATAACTGAACTGCTCCAATCCTGGTGATAGAGCCTGGCGATGCACCTACCTTCCTTTCTGCACTCAGCAGGAAACTTTTTTTTAAAATCCAGATGATAAAGTGCAAGGCCCTATATACTAATAAAGTGTGATTAATCAATAATTCACATCTCCACATCTCCTCAGAAACAACCCACTGAACTCTATAAATATCTGAAACCCCTACAAAAATAACTGAAACAAAAGCGCCGTTTTCGTCTCGCTGATTACGTTTACGTACAATTGATAGCTACTTTGCTGCATTGTTTAATTTGCAGCAGAACGTTTGTTGATCCTTTTCTCCTGAGAGCCTAAGCATAACATATTTAATATATTTCATTTTCCTTAAAATATTTTACCGAATATTATTAAGTGTTTTATTTCAAATGAAATAATAATTAAAACGAAATTGGTGCTGTACAACCGATTTATTTTATGATGATCTTTGTTTGTTTGTTTTGTTGGGTTAGGCCCTTTCGGTCTGACAAGACCATTGCAGAGCCGGAAGGATGATAGGATTTAGGGGGAGACATTGGTCTGGGCAGGCACCCTAGTGAGTCGCCGGGGCTGAGCCTGTCCAGAGGACAGGCCACCCAGCCCCAAGGCACTCACTGCACCCGGCTACGGGGTGCGCTCCCTCAGGAGCAGCGGTGCCGCTCCCAGGGAGCAGCCCGCATGAGATAAAGTTGCCTGTCCAGCCCGGAGGAGGGTTGTGGCGTGGAGGAGACGGATTTCAGCGTCCTGAGGATAGAAGCACGGATAGGTGTGTATGATGATCTACCATACTACATGATAATCAATGACGTCATCTTACCGCAAAGTCAAAAGAAGTAGAATAAGGATTTATAAAAGCTTAGCATACTTATTGGCAAAACCAAACGTTTTCGTTGTTTCGCAGTCGCGCCGTGCCGTTTTCCCAGAGTCCCTGTCCTCTCCATTTCCTTTTAATTAATCCTCATCCCTATCCCCCAGTCCTAACAGTCTCAAATTGTATTGCAATAAAATGTTTTGAATTCTTCACATAGGTACAGCCCTCTGCAAACTGCGTGGTAGGTATTCTTTTTTCGACAAAACCGAGAACAACGCGAATACTATGCTATCGGTTACTCAAAAATCGTAACAGCAAGACGCGCGAGACTCCGCACCTTAGATTGACATTATCATCGTGTTCATTTTCCATCAAGTTTGGCAACAAAATCCAAAAGTTTATATTTGCCCCTAAAACAAACTTTTGCATTTTGCTGTCACACAAGGCGTATACTTTGTTAAGTGATAAACCCATTCGAAGGAGTAGAGCATGGCGCATCTATTTGCAGTGAGTTCCGACCGACTGATAGCATAGCCTTTGAGCTATTATCGGTTTTGTCGAAAAAAGAATACCTACCACGCAGTCTGCTGAGGGCTGTACCTAACATTGACATGCCACGTCCAGAATCGTGGACCGTCAAATGCTTCAAATCCCTTCCTTCCCAATCTGACAACATCCCATGTCTCAAATGCACATTGTGTGGAATGATTTTTCAGGCTGCCCGTCAGTCTCTGTCTAACCGAAACCGTCACATGCATGATGCAGGTAAGATATTTATTTCTATTTCCCTATGGTTAATATGTTATTGATGCATATTATCCATTAAAATAGACATGATGTAGGGTAAATGGCCAAATCACGAACACTGCCAAAATCCGAGCAGCCAACTTTCAACTGCAGTATCTGATATTGAGTGTAAATGGAGTTGGAATATGGCCAAAATTAAATTGACAACTTTTAGGTGAAAGGTGGTGATTTGGGTTAAGGGGCGAGTCAACTACTGGGCCATTTTGCACCCAATAAATGACACTTCTGCTCCAATTCTACCCATTGAACCTCAATATCATGATCCACCTGTCCATCACTAGGTATCCTTCCTTATTACATAGAAAGGTTGAATGCCATGGCAATTTATAATTTTAAATGACAATATTTTTATGTTTCTTCTGTAGGTAGGTAGGTAGGTAGGTAGGTAGGTACACCAGACTGCTATGGACACTTTTCCAAGTTGGTGGGGCAAAAAACCTAATGTATGTCTTGGTTTGAGTCGTTTGATTGAGTTGATTGATTCCTTTCATTGTCGCGTTTGAGTCGATTGAATCAATTCCCGAAAACTGCTCTGACTTGATTGATTTGATTGGTTTCCCAAATTTGTCGTGATTGAATTGATTGCTATTGATTGAGTCGTATACAACCCTGATCAGGGCCCTGAAGGTGGTGAATGACAGCGCCGAGCGCGGGATCGCCCTCATCAAGCAGTTCGCTGGCGCTGTTAAGGATGAGGAACAGCGCCAGTACCTCCTTCGCGTCGTCCAGCTTCACCGCAGCCAGGTTCCTAAGCGGACCAAGGCCGCCTGCTCGGCCTTCTCACTCTTAGAGTGCTATGGCGGTCATGAGCGCGACATCTAAATATCGTCCGATTTTGTTCAACGAGGTGTCAATCGCTTTCATTTGAAGTAAGAATACAGGGCAAAATCGAAATGACGATGTGTTTTGATTTTGAATTTTTCCATAGTAATATGGAACACAGGTCCACTGGGAAGCTCAAATTAGTCCCTTACTTAGAAGAAAAAGGCAAAAACTTCATAACCTGGGTCCCCTACACGGCCAGATGGTCAACAAGGAATGATTCGTGAAGGTTCTGAGGGAGTTGAGAAAGAGATTTCGCCGCAAGAGGTCGGAACTCTTCAACTCTGGCCAGGGGCTCCTGCACCAGGACGGCACACACACCCACAAGTCCACCATGGAGACGAACAATCTGACACAGATGTGCGTCAAAACCGTCCGTAACCCTTCCCACTGTCCTGAGCTGGCCCCCGTGGCTTCTGGATGTTCCGCAGACTGACAGGGAAGCTCAGGGGCCGTCTTTCAGAGGATGTGGAGGAGATGAGTGAGGCTGTGACAGAGGCCCTGGGCACCTTCACTTTGAAGGCCTATCAGCAGGGCTTCAGGCAGTGACAGGAGGCTAAAGCAGGTGCATTGGACTCGGGAGGTTCCATTTCGAGAGTCATACAAGTTTCATGCTTCTCTGAAACAGACAACTGTCTCTACTGAAAAAGTCTCAAAACTTCTGGAGTGCACCACGTGTCTTGGTTTGAGTCGTTTGATTGAGTTGATTGATTCCTTTCATTGTCGCGTTTGAGTCGATTGAATCAATTCCCGAAAACTGCTCTGACTTGATTGATTTGATTGGTTTCCCAAATTTGTCGTGATTGAATTGATTGCTATTGATTGAGTCGTATACAACCCTGCTTTGATCATGTGATGGGTATCTTAAGGTCAGAGCAACTGACGGTCAAGGTGTCTGATGGTCGCAGTTGACTGACGCTTAGGGATCTGATGTCTCTTTGTCAAGTGAGGGTCGCTAAAGGTTCCACCTTCCTGACGGTTCGGTGCTTCATGATAGGATCTCTGACGTTCAAAGTTTTTTGGCGATCAAGGTTGACTGAGATTAGGGATCGTTGACGTCGGAGCTACAGTCAGGAGCCTTGGAGAGTCCTTTGCAGTCTAAGGCTGGAAGTTACGTCAGTTACTGGAGACGAAAAGTCCATCACTAGAGCGAAAGCTAAGGATAGGTAACTAGAACTCTAAAACACCAGCCTTCCCCAGACGACTTTTTGTGCTCTAACTCTACTCCCTCTGCTGACCTTGAATCCCCTCTCGCTGTTCTCTGGCCGGGTGAGGTCGTACTCCCCGAGTCGAATGTAGAGCAGACGACGCAGGCAGTGAGCGGCCGTCAGCACCCACTGAGGGTGGACTAGGGTGCCCCCGCAGAACGGCTCCTGTAGGGAGAAGAGGTCAGGGGTCAGTGGGTGCAGGGGTCAGTGGGCGGCCGTCAGCACCCACTGGGGGTGGACAAGGGTTCCCCCGCAGAACGGCTCCTGAGGGAGAGGAGGTCAGGGGTCAGTGAGGGTGCAGGGTTCAGTGAGCGGCCGTCAGCACCCACTGGGGGTGGACTAGGGTACCCCCGCAGAACGGCTCCTGAGGAAGAGAAGGGAAGGGGTCAGTGGGCTGCCGTCAGCACCCACTGGGGGTGGACTAGGGTTCCTCCGCAGAACGGCTCCTGAGGGGAGAGGAGGTCAGGGGTCACTGGGTGCAGGGGTCAGTGGGCGGACGTCAGCACCCACTGGGGGTGGACTAGGGTTCCTCCGCAGAACGGCTCCTGAGGGGAGAGGAGGTCAGGGGTCAGTGGGTGCAGGGGTCAGTGGGCGGACGTCAGCACCCACTGGGGGTGGACTAGGGTTCCTCCGCAGAACGGCTCCTGAGGGAAGGGAGAGAAGGGGTCAGTGGGCTGCCGTCAGCACCCACTGCGGGTGAACCAGGGTTCCCCCGCAGAACGGCTCCTGGTGGGGAGGAACGCGGGGGTCAGTGGATGCAGAGGTCAGTGGGCGGCCGTCAGCACCCACTGGGGGTGGACCAGGGTACCCCCGCAGAACGGCTCCTAAGGGAGAGGAGGTCAGGGGTCACTGGGTGCAGAGGTCAGTGGGCGGCCGTCAGCACCCACTGGGGGTGGACAAGGGTACCCCCGCAGAACGGTTCCTGGTGGGGAGGAACGCAGGGGTTAGTTGGTGGTAATCAGCACCCAATGGGGGTGCACCAGGGTACCCCCGCGGCCCGCAGAAAAGCTCTTGAGGGAGAGGAGCTGGCACTCAGGGCAGGGGTCAGTGAGGGTGCAGGAATTCGGAGGCAAGCGATCACAATGCGTCAAAATTTGAAAGTCATCGCAGGTTAGCTTTTCAGGTCAGAGACAGAGGCTACTGAAAGGAAAGAGCTCGGGAAGTCGGCGTTCCAAGATATCAAAGATATTCTCAGAGTTCAGAGAGTTCGGAGCTTTCGAAGGATACGAGCCTCAGAGGCAATTCCATCAAACCTTGAACGTCATGGGATCAGCATTTGACGGAAGAACTCTCCGCTCCCTAAAACTGAATCTATTCTGTTCAGGGGTGGTATGATCAAACTGCCCGACACCTCAGCCAGTCAGCACGTCTCTACCGACTCTCACCATGAACTGGTTGAAGATGACCGCCTGCCAGGGCCAGGCGCCTCGACTGGACCTCCGTCCGCCCACCACCCGCAGTAGCCGGCGGACGGAGCTGCCGCCGCCGACACCGCACGTGCCCGCGGCGGCCACCTTGGAGCTGATCTTAGTGCTGCTGCTGATGCTGCTGTTGGTGCTGCTGTTACTGGTGACATCTGGTGGGCGGCAGAAAAATAGTGAAGTGTTTTAACCCGCGCCCTGCTGGGGGGGGGTGTTTGAACACCCCCCCCTTGTGGTTTTTCGCGAATATCTCAAAAACGGCGGCGCGGAGCGCCGCCGTTTTTGGTACACCATATCCTACATCAATTCTACACATGTTGTGAAAATTTCAGACCAAGGTCATTCAAGGTCAGGTCACCAGGTCACTTGAAGTGACCTCACCACATAAAAAGTTTCAATGTCTGTCATAGCTACACCGAGTGACCGATCGCTTTGAAACTTTCAGCGATTGCTAAGAGCAATAGCATGTACAAAATGCATATCTCAGAATTTTGATATCGATGACCTAGGGTCAGGTCAATTTTGCGACCTCCCCATTATAAGTCAATGGGAGAAAATTGAAATGCGCCTCTTTTGGACGAATGACATTATAAACACTCCCAAACACTGAATTACAAGTGGTTTAGACACACTGAACATGAAAATGGTGTCCGTGACCCCTGTTTATGCCCTGAGGTCATCTTAGGTCACGAATGGTATCTAACAGTTTTTCGCAAATAACTTTTGATAGAGGCATGCTAGAGCGATGAAAACGCCTTAGATGTGTTCCGCTCGACGATACGGATCGACTGATATGCAACATGACCCTTTCCGGTCAGGTCATGACCTTGACCTGAGGTCAAATTTTCAAGTTGACCTTTCAAGGTCAAGTTATAGTTCATTCGATGCGTCTTGACGAGAGGAACACGATGCCGGTAAAAGTAAGCTCGTACAAGGCTTGGGTCAAAAGTTATTGCAGAAAAACTGTTTCCAAAAAAAATCGTCTATTTTTGCAGTTTTTGCCCCCTGCAGGCAAAACCGTTGACGTTAGGTCAAATCTGAGAAAATTACTCAGAAAGGGCGTTAATAGGGCTATCGAATGCGCTTTTCCGCGGCGCTGTAGCTCTATTGGTTCCCGAGTTATGCGTTGGCTTCTTGGAAATTGTCGACATTCGACCTGGAAATCGGCGAAATTTTGCCTTTAATGACCTCTGGTGACCTGACCTTTGACCTGACCAAAAAATTGACCGAAGTGATTTCGTCATTATTTTTGACGCTCTTTCGAACGCCGCCTTCCGCGTTTCGCTACGTGGCCCAGGAGCCGAGTTAGAAGGGGGGGTGTTCAAACACCCCCCCCCCCCCCAGCAGGGCGTGGAAATCCAGGACCCCCAGCCGGGCGCGGGTTAAGATACCGTCAAGAAAGCTAAAGTGAAGCAGCATACAGCCTAGGTTGATTACATTATAGCTGTTATATTTTATGCATACCGTCACGTTTTATGTAGACGGATATCCAGTGGTTTGTGACCTGGAAAGCTAACCTGCAATGACTTTCGGCCCTTGTGATTCGTCGTCTCTATTATTCTAGAATAATAACTTGGGGCAATGTTTCCAGCTTCCCTCATTTAGTCTCCCTCTCCCTCGCTGACCTCCGCTGGTGACCAGCCGCGCCTCGGCCGGTCTCTGCGTGGTCCTCTGTTTGTAGAACTCCTTGCGACTCCGCTTGCGCTGCCTGCGGCGGTGACACCTGACCCCTGACACTGAGCAGGAGGTAGTATCCTTGACACGCGCCGCGCCGCAAAACTGCGGGTACTGACACTTCCTGCAGTAATAGACACGGCTCAGTCATTGGTACGTTCAAATGATGAGGGCGAGACATGCTGTTGCCAGCTCTGTTAGATGTGCTTAGCCTTCAGGCGCTATTTCCAGCGTTAACCCTATTCCTGGCGGGCTCCGCCGGGACAAGAAACTGGCGGGGGGGGGGCCGATTCGGCCCCCCCTTCAGATCTCAAAAACTACACATCGCAGCGACAAACGGTAAACGGCATCGGATACGCACGGTCAAGATCTACAATTTTTACAAAGGTCATTTTCAGCTCAGGTCAAAGATGACGTCACAGGGGTCGAAAAAGTCAAAATGGCGGCGCTAGATATGGAGAGAGTTTTTCTCGAATAACTTTCGAATTAGTCAAGATAGGAACAAACTAAGGGCATCATCGTGATCCTCTCGTCAATCCGCATCGAATGATAAATATGTTGACCTCGAAAGGTCAAGGTCAAAGGTTGACCTCAGGTCACGTGGCCTCGAGGTCATCATGTATATCATTCGATGCGTCTTGACGAGCTGAACACAATGAGACCATCCACGCGTCTGTATCTTGTTCCTGTACGGAGTTATTGGCCAAAAACCTTTGGTGACCTTTGATGACGTCACATGACCTCACAGCTGCCCAACAGCAAAATAGACCTCAAGGTAGTGAAGGTTGATCGTATATGAAGTCATGTATGGTATATGGGGCCATTCCGACCCGTTTTAGTGGTAAAAACAGGGAGTTGATTTTTCCCCCATTGACTTATAATGGGGAGGTCGCGAAACTGACCTGACCTTAGGTCACCGATATCAAAATTCCGAGATATACAAATTGCACATACTGGTACCCTAACTAAACCCTGAAGAGAAGAAATTGATCGGTCAAAAATTCTAGCTCTGGCGTGATTGCAAACTTTTCTGAGGTAGGGTCACCAAACCGCCTCTGGTGACCTGACCTGAGGTCAGATCAACTCAAAATTTTCAGACATGTTGCGTAGAAGCCTTTTAGGAAAAGTCAGAAAATTTGAGCTTTCTAGCTCAACGCGTTTGGGAGAAATAACCAAAAAACCTCAGGGGGGGCTCCTGAGGCCCCCCGCCAGGAATAGGGTTAAGGGATTCCTATGAATGAACCAAATTAAACCTCTTCTACAGGTCAATCAATCAAACCAATTTGTTTGTTGTGCTGCTCATGATTAATATTTTTCATTGTATTTTGAAGAAAAAAAATGCACCAGAAAATTAGGCAATATTGTCGATACAGTACACAATTTAGATATCAGCCAATCTCAACAGACCTCAAAGTATCCACTACTGACATCTTGGACACCGACGCCGCCTAGCGGCGGTCACCGTAAGCTGCAGTTCTGACCTGGTCCGCCGGGTGACGCAGCGTCGGGAGCAGGGGCTCCACCCGGACCACGGTGTGAAGTAGACCCAGTTGAAGTGGCGCGCCTTAGAGGGTCGCTGGGAGCGGGTGTGGAGGCGCTGACAGATAGCGGCGGCTCCACAGGGCCGCGTGTGCTGCCGGAGAGAGGGAGAGGAGGTCAGAGAGTGGAAGGAGGAGGTCAGACTTGGAGAAAGAGATAGAAGGTCAGAGATGGGAGTGAGGGAGGTTAAGAACGAGAGAAAGGGGAGGTCAGAGACGGGAGAAATTGTGGGTCAGAGGGAGAGAGAGAGAGAGAGAGAGAGAGAGAGAGAGAGAGAGAGAGAGAGAGAGAGAGAGAGAGAGAGAGAGAGAGAGAGAGACAGAGAGAGAGAGAGAGAGAGAGAGAGAGACAGAGAGACAGACAGAGAGAGAGACAGAGAGAGAGAGACAGAGAGAGAGAGAGACAGAGAGAGAGAGAGAGAGAGACAGAGAGAGAGAGAGAGAGAGAGAGAGAGAGAGAGAGAGAGAGAGAGAGAGAGAGGGAGAGAGGGAGGATGATCAGAGACGAAAGAGAGGGAGGTCACGCAATGCTGGGAGATGTTCAAACTTCAGGCATTCATGATGTTTATGAGCATATTTGATTGACCGAATCCTCAATATAATCTGAATAAAATGGCAAATTAGCAAAATTCGGGTATATTTGATCACAGATCTTTGTCAACCCAAACATCTTTGTGGGTTGACAAAGATCTGTGATCGAATATACCCGAATTTTGCTAATTTGCCATTTTATTCAGATTATATTGAGGATTCGGTCAATCAAATATGCTCATAATCATCATGATTATTTTCCTCACAACGCTTAACTCTCTTAAATTCAGGCATTCAGTCATTCCTTTTCCACCCCCATCCCAATCTACTCTCGTTTCAGTTCAGTCATTTCCATTCTCAGTTCCATCACACAGAAAAATATTGACACCGTTAGCGGTGTAATTGCACAGTACATATCTGAGCACTTGAGGAAAGTTAATTTAGTCCCTTCCCCGGTTAAATTACTTGCGCTTCTAAATGAGCACCAGGAAGAAGGTAATAGAACACTGTTAGGAGGGTTGGGTGTTTTACTACATGTAGCAAAACACCCAACCCTCCTAACAGTGTTCTATTACCTTCTTCCTGGTGTTCATTTAGAAGCGCGAGTAATTTAAGCGGGGAAGGGACTAAATTAACTTTCCTCAAGTGCTCAGATATGTACTGTGCAATTACACCGCTAACAGTGTTAATATTTTTCTGTGTGATCTGGGCTGATCTAGCTAGACCCATCCCAGTCCCACCCGGGCTGGTCCCTGTTCCATCTCAGTCATCCCCATCCCTCAGCACGTGTAAACAGGAACTCGCGCCGCCTCACTCCTCAGTCCTCACCCAGCGCACAAACACAAACACCGCCCAGCGCACAAACACAAACACAACCGCCGGGAGATGAATGGTGGTGTTAGCGGAGAGGAACGCGAGCTGCCGTCAGCGGCAGGCGACCACAACAAACAGAGCGTGAGCGCATTAAAAACGCACCGAGGAGGGGGTGGAGTGGGGTGTAAAATAAATCAGGGGTAATGGTATCTACATACTACCTATGTATGTTCAAGTCATCGTAATGGAGTCGATTTTTCGTTACTTGGCCCTAACCGTATTTATCAAAGGGAGGTCTTTCGCTCATAACTTATTATAGCGCATAACTTATTACTCTGTAACCTCTGAAAAAAATCTGCTATGATCATCTCACTGTATAATTGCAAGTTCCTCAGAAACGGTTACCGATGATTATGTCACGTAATGTGAAACCAGATGGCATTGATGGACAAAACCGAAGGTACAGGACTCAGCGTTAGTGGCTATATCATATTACGCGACTATATTAGTGTTTCAATGTCACGGATGTCTTTAATTACTGGCCAATTACATTTAATTTATCTCATCGCCTTACCCTTCTTTATATTGGGAAAGCTATCCTACAAAAGACCGTTACTAACAAAACTTCTGAGCACCACCTCATTAGGTGTCTGGTGTCTTACGTCATTCGATATCGGCGTCCAAATTACTCACGTCATTTCACGCCACAGCTTCCGAAATATCTAACCGCTAAGTCACGTAGCTCAGACTGCCATATTGAAAGATCAGGGAGCCCACTCACGCTACCTTTCGATCGTGGCCAATGGCTTTGCAAAATCGAATCACGCGATCACGAATCGAAACCGCGGCGTTAGATGCTATGACGTCATCTAGGGCAGCTAGAATATAAATGGTTAGTGATTGCATCACTAATGCCTTGCAAGAGATACGAAGAAAAAAGGAAAAAAGATAAATATATTGAGAGAAGAACATGGCATGACGAAAATAAATCAAGCGATCATTTTCTAAATCATAAAGATTACAAAGTTGAACGCGAAATTATCGGTCATCGCCATTCGCATTGTATGTATGAGCTGAATTTCTTTAAAGTGTTCAATGTTCATGAAGCTGTATTTCTTCAAAGTGTTTGTTCCACTCGGGAACACAGCCGGTTCATGGCTCAAAATCCTCTCCCTTCGTCCCAATATATCTCAGTCTCCGTCGGCCGGACGAGCCCATCTTCCCGTCTCCAGCGCCTGTCTCCAATCCCGTCACAGTGATATCACCCGCTGTCTGCCGACACAGCTGACATCTAACCAAGCAAGGGTTTACACGGGGACCAATGACGTCACAGCTCGGACCAGTGATGTCATCCGCTGGCGACAGACAGCAGACGGCCGATCACGGGTTTACCCGGGGACCAGTGGTGGCACAGTGCAGCCCTGCAGAGGCCAGTGCAGAAGAAAGGTTAAGGGGTGGCTGTGACACCAGCGCGGCGGTGCAGTGGTTCTGACCCTCCAAAACAGTTGACTCTGACTCTGCTGAGTCCGCGGAGTAGTGCCCCGCCGATGGGAAAGTCCAACAGCTGGTGTACAAAAGAAATAAAAATCTAGCATGACTAAGCGAGCCAAATATGTACAAATATGTATATTGAGTACCCAAGGTAAAAGGAAGTTAGGTAATAATGAATCAGTAACTTGATTTACCTAAGCCTTCAAGGCTAGATCGATGAAAAATGGAAATAAATGTAGTTCTTGTTCCAAATGCTTCAGCGCGTTTAGAAAAAAGACCTAGCGACTGAAAGAAAAGAAAACAAGTTTCTGCGCTTTGCCCGTGCCAAGGGGTCTACCGCAAACAAATGAAAATTTATCGGGCATTGTCTGCAATGGACCATTAGCTGGTCCCAAAGCCATAAAACAACTCAATGGCGCTAATCTGCTCGCATCAGAATACCTGCGGTTCGTTCGAGCTGCAATGTTTTAGGGAAACCCTCGTCTCCATAAAATCTTAAGTCACTTAAGTTTACCAATGAAGTAGGTACTGGCAGCATGTCATGACACGGGAATGTTCCAATGTAAGGGTGGCACGTGTTTGAACGGTAGCGAACAAGGAAAACAAAACATCACGTGCAGCAAGTGACTCAGGAAAACGACACGTGGCGGAGACGCCCCGAGGACAATCAGGCGGACAGGTGGGGCCTGAGACGTAACTCCGTACAGGTTCAGTCAATTGTGAGTCCTCGAATGCTTACAAGCTGTCGCTAAACCATGACAAACTTACACGTTGTAGGTACGATTGTATAAAAAACGGATGGACGTATAACGACCTCTGCGGTGTCATCAGTGGCGTATCTAGGATTTCTCTCAGGGGGGATCCGCAGTCAAAAGGGCCCTTGACTGACTGGGTTGAAAGGGCCCTTCAGTGGCAAAAGGGCCCTTGTAGCCTGAGTTGAAAGGGCGTTCAACCCGCGTCCCGTGGCGGGGGGGGGGGGCGAAACGGCCCCCTGTCCTCTTCCGTAGCTATCTCCTAAATGACTGCAGATATCCCCACCAAACTTTCAGGACCTCTACGGGCATCCATTTTACACATTGTGACCAATTTTTTTCCAGAGGCTATGATAGGTTGGCCGCAAATAACGTCATGTTCTGTCATTTTCGACCCAAAAAAAGTTTCGCAGGAAGAGCTGTCAGCCCTACAGAGCTGTAGAAACATAAAAATGTTCCGAGATAAAAGGTGTACAATTAACAGGCCTATGTCAAATCTGAGCACAGTTTAGCCCCGCCTTGGGTTGGGCCCAGGCTGGAGCGTTGACCCTAGGTCAAATCTGAGCACAAATTACAGAAAGAGTGTCAAAAGAGTTTTGTTTGTTTTGTTGGGCTATGCCCTTTCGGTCTGACCAGACCATTTCAGCGCCGGAAGGATGATAGGAATTGAGGGAGACATTGGTCTGGGCGGGCACCTTGGTGAGTCACCGGGGCTGAGCCTGTCCAACAGGACAGGCCGACCAGCCCCCCAAGTGCTCACTGCACCCGGTTACGAGTGTGCTTCCTTAGGAGCTGCAGTGCGCTCCAATGGGAGCCGCCCGCATGGTATAAAGTTGCCTGTCCAGGTCCAGCCTGGATCATGGGTTGCGGCATGGAGGAGAAGGATTTGAATGTCCTGAGGATGGAAACGGCGAAACGGGTCATGTTAACCCGCGCCGGGCCGGGGGGGTTTGAACACCCCCCTGCGGTTTTTCGCTAATATCTCAAAAACGGCGGCGCGGAGCGCCGCCGTTTTTGGCACACCTGTTTGTGCATTACTTTCGCACATGTTGTGAAAATTTCAGACCCAGGTCGCCTTAGGTCAGGTCACCAGGTCACGCCAAGTGACCTCACCTCAGAAAAAATAAGAATGCTCGTCATAGCTACACCGATTGATCGATTGCCTTGAAACTTTCAGCGATTGATAAGAGCAACATTATCTATAAAATGTTAATCTCGGAATTTTGATATCGGTGACCTAAGGTCAGGTCAATATCGCGGCCTCTCCATTACCTATCAGTCAATGCGAGAAAATTGAAAAGCGTCTGTTTTGCACGAACGCTATTCTAGACACTCTCTAACATCGAGATGTAAGTAAAATTGGCACACTGAATCGGAAAATGGCAACTGTAACCCCTCGTTATGTCCCCGAGGTCATCTCAGGTCACTAACAGAATCTAACAGTTTTTCGCCAATAACTTCTGATAGAGGCGTGCTAGAGCGCTGAAAACGCCTTAGATGTGTTCGAC